AACTACCTATGGCCGGCAGACTGATAGTTCACAACGCTAAAATCTTAAATCGATAAGTTCCTTTTCTTCCTTTCATGTCAGAATTGATGCCTTCTTATTTGAGGCATTTGCCTTACACACACTGAAGGACAGGCAACACTGAGTTCGTAATTCAACGAACATTGAACAACGAACATTGGACAGAACAGAAAAAATATTATCATCAGCGGCCATTTTTGGATGCTACTATTAGATGCTAACTTCTTACAACGCTTTTCAGTGTTGAAATAGTAATTACTGAGCACTAAAAACCACTTCTTTTAAAGTTAGATAAAGATAGTGCATAGAGGAATCGTTTCACCACTGTAGCTCTTCTCAGAAACGACTGATTGTCCGCTATGCTGGATTGTACCTCCAAGTTAGGGGTCTTCTTTATATGTAGTGTAATCTACATAAAAACTTACTAAGGTGACAGCAAGCAGCTGCTGCTACTTCGTATATGTGTCAACACGAGACTATTGACACTTTTTGTTACTATGGGTTACTGCAGAATCAAAAAGTGTCAACAAGGAACAGTTGATGATTGCTATGATCTTGCGTGTTGAGGCTGAATTTTGTTGAAAACGTCTTTCTTGTTGAACAGTAAAGCATCAGTGACATTATCTATATTGCCGTATGGTTGTGCTACAGAAGATGGAAGGGTTCAAGGTATTATATGACCGTGGAAAGTGGCTGTAGTAAAACGGCGGCGTTTCCATGCTCGATGCGACAAATATTAGTTTGTTGATTCAAGCGGTTTACGTTATCCGCAGGCAAGGATTTTAAGAGGGGATTGTAAGGATTTTATATCCATCCATTAAATGAGTAAAGATTAACCAGTGTCATAGTAACAGTATAAGGGCGAGTAAATATTGGTACCATTTTTTGGGGGATCGTGAAAGAAACAAGAAGCAGTTATAGGCAAAGCATGCGAGTTCAAGCTACATTTAAAAACACAGAAAGTTGTTTTGATTGGAATTCATTTTCTCAATGAAGTCGCGAGTTTCTTGGTCACTATCATTCTTTTGGATATTCCATCTCAAAGTATCAATAGCTTTCTATTGACACTTTTTGATTCTGTAGTAACCCATAGTAACCAAAAGTCTCAATAACTCCTTGCAGACACTTTTCACTCAAAGTGACAATAGTTTCAGAACCTTAGAGCCACTTATGTAAGGTCACAACAGCGTCATATATGGACGTCGGATATATACGAAAACAAGGGGGAGGGAGGGTGCACGGTAAAACGTTTCTTCCGATGGTCTTACATCTTACTTAGCTGAACTGCAAGAAGAGTGATATGTGATGGCAATCAATTGACATTTAAGTTTTTAACAGGCGCTCCGAGTGCCATAGAGAAAAGTAATCGCCCAATCAAAAAGTAGATTTTGCCTTACGTGTGCTCATCGTGTAGTTAATTTTGAAAAATTGAATTTAAAGTTTTTATGTAAAATCTCTCTCACTAAGCCAGATTGACTTGTTCCAAAAGTTGTTTTCTGCCAGTTTGTAGAGCAAACAATTATCTACAAAATTAATCGCTTTTTGTTATTTTATCCGGAACCTTGCGTCCAAAAAGAGTTACAATGATTGCCATCAAACATTTTTCCACATTTTCTGTTGAAATGGTTATTTTCTACATAAAAGGCATAAAAGTAACCTGAGGTAAGTATCGGTGACATCAATGAACTTGTTACAAATGTTGTAAACAGTTGTATTCACAAGTTCGATTCTGCTTTATTTTTTCTTTGTCGATGAACGTTATAATAAATACCTCTTAGGTTCAACGCCTAGTGTGTCACCGTTTCGATGATGCTGGTCATTCGGGTTGGATAAGATCTCGTATAAGATTTCTGAGTATTTTCTTTTGACTCATCTCATCATTTGATTGTTCGTCATGAAATTCTTCTTCGTCACAGATGTCAAATTTCCCGTACTTTTCCTGATTCGATCTGAGGCGTGAAAAATACTACCGAATTGGACCTGCTATGAGAAACTCATCGCTGAAAAATACAAACTGACCCGGTTACTAAATCGGTGCCTGACTCCATGAGTAACGCAACAGTCTCTGGTTTCACTGCTCTACATGAGAAAGAAATGTGTAACTACTGCGAAAAATGAGTAGTTCATAACTTAAACGAAGATGTATTATAATAAAGAAAGAAAAGAACACATTATGTTGATAAGTGTACATCTCATTATACAAAGAATAAACATTAACCGATTTATGAACCGTAACAACTTCATTCACGCCACCGATACTTGCTTCAGGTTACTTTTATGCCTTTTATGTAGAAAATAACCATTTCAACAAAAAATATTGGAAAAAATGTTTGGTGGCAGTCATTGTAACTCATTTTTGGACGTAAGTTTCAAGGTAAAACAGAACAAAAAGCGATTAATTTTGTAGATAATTGTTTGCTCTACAAACTGGCAGTAAACAACTTTTGAAACAAGTCAATCTGGCTTAGTGAGAGAGATTTTACATAAAAACTTTAAATTCAAATTTTCTAGCAGTCAATGATGGATCTAGTCAGTCATGCGCCATGCCATTACGGGCTGTCTCTTAAATGTTTTCTTAAATAATCGGTATTCGGAAATTAGTATCTTAATCAGGGAAAATACGTATCATTACTGTAATGGTAGGGGTACACGAGTCAGTCTTTAGTTAAATTGATTATTTTTTTTCACTACTACTTCTACTTTACATAAATCATAGTCTGGATTTTTTGCTTGAGTCATAAACAGGAAGTAAAAAAAGTACGCTTAAAAGATTATGACTAGTCTGTAGAGTGTGTCATCGATGTGGATAAAAAAACTATCTTTTCGTTTTTCTTATTTGTTTCTTCACATCGATGGCTCTCAAAAAACAAAAATTATGTCGCAAGTTAAAAAGCATACGTTTACTCTTTTTCTCAAGAAAAGTTTTCATTTAAAGAGGGATATTTAAAAAATTTTTAAAACGAGCATTTAAATGGCCACAAAAATTCTGTACCGCGATAATACTTATCGACAAAATTTACAACAATAATAAATTTATATCGTGAATTAAAAAGGAAATGTTTACGTCTAAGCGTCAGCTCTTATTGTTTCGACAAACATTTATATTTAAACGAGAAAAAGAGACCATTTCAATGAAAAAACAAACTGGTTGTCAAAATATTCCTTCGTGGAAGAAAAAAGTAAAAATTTTTGCAAACATCAGACATATGGTGCTCCGCTTTCCTTACTAAAACACTTTGAAATTTCTTAGAATCCATCGGACTTCGAGACGTAATCAGAACGGTTTTATACCTAAGCAAAGTATGATAGTCCAAGCTCGAATAACCAAAAATAATATAAAACAGAATATAGGAGGATGCGCAAAAGAAAGAGTACCTCTGCGAAATCACGTCAATTTATGCCTCACGATCCTATTGCATAGTGAAGATAGCGTACCATGTTTTTGTTAAATCAATGAGTTTTACCACCATCTTACTCAGTTTTCTTCTCGAAAACACGATAAAGTTATGAACTATCAGTGTGTGATAACAAACATTAATCACTCCACGCCAAGTCTGAGGAAATAGATGCAGTAACCAGTCTTTTATATTATATAATATCAGATTGACGTTCACCTAATGGCGATACCTTTCATTCCTGACATTAAGCTGGTAGTTGTGAAACAAATGAGTTGGTTTGACAAAAGGAGAAAAATGAGCTTATTCTTATAAAAGAAAAAGCTAAAATAAGTTGGTTAAATGAAAGGAAATAGGATTATAATTGTCGTGGACATTTAACTTTTTACAAACGTTATGAATGAGATTTAATGAAGTTTATGATGAATTACAATGGTAATGCTATCTTTTTTCTATTCAGAGTAAGACGACTTTATCGCTATGAATCATCTTTATGTCTATGTGTCACAATGAGTAAATCGGTCTGATTCAACTTATTCACAATGACGTGATATTCTGACACGGTGTCAGTATGCAACGTTGATTATAATTTCCTCATTATTGCGCATTTTTCAGTCTTCAGTGCATCAGTTATTAAAGTTTTGGTGATTCTTCGAATTATGGTGAGCTATTTGCTCTAAAGGTAAATATAAAAACTACTGATAAGTTTTTTTACCGATACAAAACAAATCATGTGCATTTTTTCTTCTCTTTTTTACCAGAAAAAGAAGGTTACGCTGAAGAAAAGAAAAAAACGAATGCATGAGTGAGAATAATATAAAAATTCCCGTTTTTTTTTTAGTAGTATTTATATATTTTTTGTTTCACGTTTCTCTTTATAAACCTGCTGTTTTTTTCCTTTTTCATGCCCGCTTGAAATTCAAACATTTCACAAGTAACGAGTGCACCAGAAATAATGTCCCCCTCCATACTTTCTCCATATTTCGGTCAAGGTTGATCGCCAAGTCTGAGTCCTTTTTTAAAACGACTCCTCATTCAATTCTCTACACAAAACATATTGAACATTTTCTCTATACTATATAACAAAAAAATATAGAGGAAATACCGTGAAGCTTCGGTATCGATTGCTTTCAAACCCAGACGCAGCCAAAGAATATTTATTTTGAACATGGTGCTATGCATGAAAATGGAATGGTGCTATGCATCGAAATGTATTTTCTGGTGCTCCTGAATATCATCTTTCCTTTCTTGTCTCATAAGTTCGCTACAAACCGTTTTTTCTGCCATGCACGAAGATTTTCGTAAAAGTAGAAAAAAAAAGGGAAAATTTGATTTCTTTGCCTTGGCACATGAAGCGAATAGGGCTATTTTACTTTCTCTGTTCGGATATAATAGAAGAATTATTTTGCATTAAGGTAAACCAGACCCGATGTCATAATGTGTGTTTTTGGGTTTGAAAATAATCGATATTGAAGCTTTCTCGTATTTCCTCTACATTCTTTTATTCTTATAGTATATAAAGAAATGTTCAATATGTTTTGTGTAGTGAACTGAATCACTGAGACTTGGCGATCAGCCTTGACTGAGATGTGGAGCAAATACACGATGGGTATAATTTCTGAGGCACCCGTTAGTCAAAAATTTTCACTTAACTAATTTATTAAGAATATATTTATTTTCTAAAGGTTCTAAAAACTGGGTAAAACAGGTTCCTTTCTCATTACTATTTTCAGATCAATATAAAATGGATTTTGGATCAAAATACGTCTATGCATACAATTGCGTGAGTCATTTGATGAATGCTTTTTTATTTTGCTTTTATACTTCGGTCTGTGTTCAAATTTAGTCGAGTGAAGAAGATCTGTCTGATTCTGGTGACGAATCTAACGTATTAAATATTGCATCGACACAACCTTTTGCAGAAGCAGCACCATTATCTTTGACTCACGCTGTCGCTTCCGGAGGTGCAGGTGATATTGTGAAGGTGGAAGAGAAACATGACTCGTCTAATAAAAGTGACACCAGGCGAAAAACGAAACAAAAACGTCGCCTACGAAAAGCTGATACAAATGTACTAAGTGTTCAATTCAATCACTTATTGAAGCCAACTGAAAGTAAGTTGGATTCTCTCTTTGATTCATAACAGTTTGTCAAATGTGCGCGCTTTAGTGCATGCTGGCGATATAATTAGGTGTGAAGAATGCAGTGTAATTGCTTCTCATCTGAGTAAAATTAAACCGGCAACTGGAGAAACAGCAGAACCATTGTGGGAATGTGAGTTTTGCAGACACCACAACAGCACTGATATTGAACAAAGTGATTTACCTAAACAAGAAGATGTCACATATTTGGTTGAGCCGGCGCCTGTTGTTCACGGTGCCGATATGACGTAAGACACAGAATAACATCTTTTCTCATCTTACGTCAGACACTTTTTAGCGGTCTGGATAACTCAATTGTCATATTTGTTATTGATATTTCGGGTTCGATGAGCTCAACAACTTCGGTTAGTGGCACATTCCGAATGCCAAACGCCCATAAGCAACAACAACGTGCTGCGGAAAATTTTGGAGGCGAGCAGATGATTCGTGATCGTCACCAATCATATGTCACTCGTCTCCAGGGTGTACAGATGGCAGTTGACGCCAATTTAGATACGCTGATTAAAGAGCATCCGACAAGACGGGCGGCGCTGTTAACTTTTAATCATGAACTAACGTACTATGGTTAGTTTTACTGATGGGCGCGGTTCACAAATGGCGTTGAATAGAGATGACATAGGAGTAGGTTGGAGCGAAGTAGGATATCTCCGATCAATGTAACAAATGCTGTTAGTCATTAGGGAGAGACTTTCTATCATAAGTTTTAGATGACTGATTTATCAAAACATTCAATTTTTTACCTTCATGTCAATTTAGTAGAGAAAGAGTATAAGCTGATCAGGTGAAGGCTGCTTCAAATCAGCTGCTCTATTTCAACTCTCATGTTCATCTGGAAGCAGAAGTGTGAATAATTGCTATTTATCGACAGTACATCAAAATTTTACCTAGATTAGCTGAGCTCTTTAATCACTCGTACTTAACCTACAAAGCTTCTGATATCTTAACTTTTGGTATGCAACTTTCTTTTCTTTCGTTAGAAAAGACATCGAACAGTGAGTGACATTGAAAACTCGGTCATCAGAAGTGAATGCAGTAATTTTTAAAAAAGATCTTGAAATTGGACCTTATGTACGCGTGATAAACATGTCAGTTCAATAGAATAACATTTTCATGAAGTCAGAATGATATCGAGTACATTCATCGCAACAGAAAAGCAAAACAAAATTAAAAAATTCTAAAAACAAATATTTTGTCATGTACCTTGGAAAATATGATAATAGTGGGATCGTTCACTCGGAAAATATATGCCAAGACTGTGTGTTGATAGTTTGCTGCTGCAGCACTGGTCTTGTTAATCAATACCTCGGGTTCGATTCCAGGTCACGGCATGTTTTTTCCGAATGTTAGTTTATCGAAGTTTTATCACTAAAAATCTATGTTTCTTTAACTTTTAAGAGTGAGAACAGTATGATTCGCTCGGTTTACTGCAAGTCCTCGTCACGAGAGAGAAAGTTCCAGTCAGCAGATATCTCAGTTTCATCGAGACATCACATAATTTCTCATGAAAGACTTATTTCAGTCGAATAAAAGATCATTTGTTTACTTCAGGTGTGCTATAGAAAAATACCACGGTTCAGGCAAAGAGTTGTCTTTTGTCATAGTATTTTAGAAGGAAAATTACAAACTTTTTCTAGCTAATAATTTGAATTATTGAACTTTTATCACACCACCCTATCATCATAATGGCGAAAGATCCCGGGAGGAGGATACTCTTCGGGTACTAACGGCATCAAAGCGTGAACTTCGTCACAGACACTAAAAGTTTCGTTGAACGAGCCGAATTTTCGTCATATATAAATAACACTGTGCGACGCGGATAGAAACGATTCTGTTGTGTATCTACAACGTTATTTATTTGTGACGAAAATTTTCTACCGTTTATTTTTATGTTACGCTGTGGGACGCTAGTTCAGTAGAAATCGTTAAAAAAATCGGTATTTTCGTCACGTTAGGTGAATTTCGTCACGTCCACAAAAAACACGTGGGAACTGACGTCACCATGCTCTTTTCTGAAAAAAACGCACTTTCGTCACTCCTCCTATGATGAAGGTGCGCTGTGACGAAAGTACCTTTTACCGATAATTTTTCGTTTTTGACCGTGAAGGGTGTAAAATTGTGGAACCATAATTCCATTACTACGCTTCTAGCTCAAGATTACAATTTGATAGATAAGACAGAAGAGAAAAAAATGCTGATCATTCATAGTCAGAGCATGAAAAAGAGAGATATACGATAGGAATAAATAAACTGCTGATGATATTTGTGACCGTGCTCCTTCTTAACCAGGTAGAAAAATCAGCCATTTTATTTCTTAGGGGACGGAACACGAGAGCCTCTTGTAATCCGTGGTGATAAATTAGATTCAAAAGAAGATATAATTCTAGAAGCTGAAGAAGAATGTAAAAACGAATTAAAACCGATTCTGGAAACAAAACAACGACTCGTTGAGCGTGTTTACGATTTGGAAGAAGGCGGTCAAACAGCTCTTGGACCTGCTGTGGTGTTCGCGCTACACTTGGCATCAAAACGTCGTGGATCAAAAATTGTCATTTGTACAGATGGTTTGGCGAATCGTGGTATAGGAAATTTGGAGGCGGCAAATGACGAAAAATCAGAAGGAAATGTCAAAAAAGCAGCAATCGACCAGGGAAATGAGTTTTATGGAAGTATAACAGATGTAGCAAGGGATAAGGGTGTCTCTATATCAGTTGTCACGATGAAAGGTAAATATCCTGTAGAAAGTTGTATGAATGAAAGATACCGTGTGCTATATCTAGGTTCCTTTTCTTGAAGGCACTAGTTTTTCATGTACTCGGATTGTTTGAGCGGTATGTTGAACAGTTATTTTTGTTTTCAGTCTTTTAGAATGTTTCCTCGATTTTTCTATAAGCAGAAAGTTCTAGCGGACTGTTCCGAAAACTGATAACCCAAAGTCAGTTTATTTTAAAAATTTATCCACAAACTCGTAAAGTTTTGAAGATATGAGTCCATGTATGACAAACATAATCAGTGGTAAATTTTTCAATGCTTTCGTACCAGGTACTATACGATATAATGTATATTAGAGAGTTTGAGAACGTTTAACCTATGGAAAAATTGAAACGAAATCGAATATTCGGGTCCTCAGAACGACATATAATAATAAATTCATTTCACAGAGAGTGTGAGACATATTCAAAAGCATGTCTCGTTTTGCACAGAGTATTTCGAGCATATTGCAGTAGTATCGATTCGAAGTGGAACTTTCTTTCAAAGATGGGTGGCATAGTATCTGCAGCAAGGGGGAAAAAGAGTTTCTGGAATGGTATGGAATGGTCCATTCCAACCCATTTCGCTTTTCCCTCTTGATCTGCAATTAAGACAGAAAATGACATACATGACATTTAAATTATGTGCTTGAGAAACTGAAAGAGAACTACTAGATAAAGGGCGAGTTACCATTCATATGGTGTATGAATAAAGAACATTTGTCCATTTTTATTTAACAGGTACTACGTGTTTTATCCCGCTTATTGGTCAAATGGCTGATGGTAGTGGTGGTCAGGTAACAATTGTTGATCTGACGAATATTCGAGATGAGTTTGCGTCGATTCTCAAACAGCAAGTTATTGCATCAAACGTATCAGCGACACTCATCGTACATCGTGGTCTGTACATTCGAAATCCGGCAAACAGTGAAATAAAATTAAACAAAAGTGAACGTGATATAGGGAATGTAACGAAAGACACGGAAGTAACATTTGAGTTTGGCATACGAAATAAAAAAGGTAAAAAGATTAGATTCGAGCAGATCCAGGCAGACATTTTTGTTTTTGGAACCAGCTTGGGGCTAAATCCAGAAAAACGTTTTCTATTTACGTCTATATTTCCACTCCATACTCAAGGAACAGAATTTTAAGATTTCGAAAAATAAACACAAAACGTTCGATAAAATTTGTTTGCGCCAGTTGGATTTATCTGTTACTCTAAATGTTCATCTACTCTTCTACCCAGGAAAATATTAATCATTATGACTTTAATGGGAAATCCATCAACTTAACCAGATTAAATAGAGAGTATCTACTTCTACTTTTTATCCTAACCGGAAGAAGAAATATTCGACATCGTGCCGAACTATTTTTTAAAAAGAGGCAAAACACCAGAGTACTCTTCTCTGGTGTTTTGTCACGTCATACACTATGTTCACATGACAGCGTTAAGAGAGTGAATTACGACCGTGTGCTGTAATATAACATACCGTAAATGGCCATAGCTTGACGTAATTTGACGGTAATCCTGTGCTCTGTAACACTGCAGTCGTAAACAACCGTTTACGAGACCGTTTACGGCCATAATGGATCCGTATACGCTCGTTTACGGCAGCAGTATTACGGGGCATAGAAGTACAGTATCGTAAATCGGTTTTACGGCCGTGCTGAATCACATGGGTTCTTTCTCGTTTATAAAGGCTCTTTTGCCAACTCTTCCGTTTATTCTATTGTTGATACTTAGGTTTAGAAAATCCACTGTCCGTCTATGAAATAAAAGACACTTTGGATTTTATAAAATATAATTATTTTAAGAGATTTTAGATCTTTTTAACACTTGTTCACAGCAAAGAGTTGTGAGAGTCGATCATTGACTAAAAGGCACTTATTTCTTCTAGAATTAAAAGATAACTTTAACATTGATTTGGGCAAGTTAAATCAATTACCATTTCAATTGCAAGTGCTATATACAGCTGTCGATGGTTCAAAAGCGTTGCGAGTGTTGACACAATTGAAAGAGACAACAGAAAAACGTGAAGTAGCCGAACAAAATGCCTTTCGCTCGGTTATTGCAGAAAATCATATTCGATCAACAGCAAATGATATGATGGTTCTAAGTGAGGATGAAAACGACAACGATTATCGATCGAAAACAAAATATGCGTCAAATGTTGTACAAAAACAACGTATCCAATATATAAATAAACTCAATGCTGATGCACAAAATAATGATGATTTCAATACAGGGTATGTGGCTCAGTATTTCTGATAGGCTTTGAAATGCAATTGCTCTCAAGAATTTCTACTTTAGTAGAAATGAAAATTATCGTATAAAATCAAAAGTTTCCTTTTTACAGCTTACTGTATAACATTTTTTAAGGATATCAATGCGACTTTGTCCTTCTCGACAATGGTAGGATTGCAACAGTACCCTAAAAACAAAATATGATATTCTAGCCACTAGATAAGATTCAACTGATCGAAGAATAAACAAGCTTCTAGATAGTTGCATGAAACGTTGATACATCACATCTTAATAAATAGAAAAAATCGCGTTGAGTACATTGTAATGTCGGGAATTATTTATAGAAAATGCTCGGCGATTTTCAAAAAATCCATATATAAATTCCTTGAGGATTTTCTAGATTCTAGAAAATCGAATTTACAAGAAACCTGGAAATTCGATCTCGATTTTCCAGAATTCAGGAAATTCGAAGTCGGATTTCTATAAATAATTCCCAAGATTCTTGAAATTCGAAGTCGAATTTCCAGAATTCTGGAAAATCG